CCGGGAGCGGGCGGCTGCCGCACGGAAACCCCGTGCGCGGCGTAGAGCCGGGCAGCGCCTCGCCGGCGTGCGTCGGGGCTTGGCAGCCTGCCGAGCTGCGCGGCCGGGAGGGGGCCTGGGGGGACCCCGGGGCCGCGCCGGGCCCGCTGTAGCGGGGCGTTTCTTCGAGAATACCGGAGATCTCAAAAAGCCGAAGCAGTGAAACGAACGCTCCCTGATCTCACGCACACGCACGCCCCTCTTGGGTCGAGATAGGGGTAGCCTGGCCGTTTTATTAAAGAAATCGAGATTAAGACTTTACTGCACAGTAACACGTTCTTAAACGCAGGTCCCGGGTAGTAAATGTGAGCTACATTAAGCGGGTTATATCTTTGAGAAAACAGTGATATCCGTTTACAGATAAGATGTGGGTGTATTTAAGTGTTTAAAATGTGTTAAATCATTGACTGTGTTCAGTGTGTTATTTTAGCATAAAGTTGGTTGAGCAGGTTTTTCTACCAAACAAATTTTCTACCAGTAAATAATGAAATACTTATGAGTATTGATTCTTCTAACAGTGAAACGTGTAGACAACTTGAAGGAGAATTTACCATAACTGGTAGGTTCAGAAGGAAAAGTTCTCGGAGCTTTATCTAGTCATCATCATATCTTCTTGGAACTTTTCTCGTTTTTTTTTTTTCTTCACTTGGTAAATGTATAATTTAAAAATCAAAGGCTTCTGTTAACCATTTTCTCACAGTTTTGGAAAAAATGGATGTACAAGCCTGTACAAGCTTTAGAAGTAAACTTAAGTCAACATGTAATGTCTATTTCTGTTGAAAATATTAACCTCTTTTCCTTTAGTTGAAGCTCTTTGAACTTTTCTCGTTTTTTTTTTTTCTTCACTTGGTAAATGTATAATTTAAAAATCAAAGGCTTCTGTTAACCATTTTCTCACAGTTTTGGAAAAAATGGATGTACAAGCCTGTACAAGCTTTAGAAGTAAACTTAAGTCAACATGTAATGTCTATTTCTGTTGAAAATATTAACCTCTTTTCCTTTAGTTGAAGCTCTTTACGTTATTTTTCAGGCTGTGGCTTCACTGCCTGAAGATATGAGACCTGGTCCTGATCTGTATGGTTTCTCGTCGGAAATAGTGATTTGTGCTGGCATTGTTGGAGCCTTTACAATCCTCTTGTTCATGTATAGAAGTTATCAATCAGTAAGTGTTCAAATTACATGCAGATATGTAGAGTGCATTAATGGTTTGAATTGAATGGCATGAATTGAAATTGTTATTCTGTTCAAGATATATAATGCTTCGGAGTTTTAAATCTGTTGGGATTGAATTCAGAATCCCTCTAAAAGAGAAATTGAGAAGTAGTAAGTGTTTGGACGTGTGCTGAGTGACTGTTGTCATTAGAGGAGATGCAATGAAACTCTGTAGTAAGGCTTCCTTTTTCCTTCCCTTTTTAATTCCTATGCCAGACTTTCAAAGTCACCCCTGAAATTATTTTCACGGGATACAGAGGTCTTCCCTAGGGTGTATGTATTGCTGTGTGTAGTGATATCTCTGCAACTACCCTGGCTATAGCCAGACCAGCTCAGGTCTTTCAAGGTAATTGTAAGCAAAAGCAATCCAGATGGATTCCCATAAAGGGAGGCATTTTAAAACTCTTCGGACAGTGACCTTGACTGTGTTTATTGGAACACTGAACCAATTTTACTCTGTGCTGTTTGTGAGCACTAAGCTGATGACTCTGAGAAATGCAGTACTGAAGCCTTTTAACGCACAAATCAGATTATATTTTTGAGGTAAGGGTTGTCTTCTATGGTGAGTGAGTAAGGATCTGAGTAATAACAGCTGCCTACCATACTCTCCCGACTAATGAAATGGGTTCAGTGTCCATAATTCAGTTTATTTCAATTTAGCATTTCTCCCCAGTTTTTGCATACTCTTAAATAGACAGATTGTGATTTGGTGCTAGGTGTAATGATGCTCATGTTTGAAGATAGGTTGCATAGCGGTTTAGTTTTTCAGATATGAGCAACTGCATTTTTAAGGTTCTAACATCAACTTAGATCTGGAAAAATGCCACCCTATTCTGCAGCAGCAATTCAGAATGTCTGGAAGGGGATCTGTATTTGTGTAAGTTAATATATTTATAATTTGGGTTATTCCTTCTCTTTTCTAGCAGCATCCCTCTAGGTGGTATGAAAGAGGCGTTTCAGCTGAAATCAGTCAAGCAGCAACTCTAGTGTTGTTTTCCTCCTGCATATGTCACTAAGGCATTAGATATTACAGAAGTTACTGATAGCTTTGTCAGTCATCTGTAGTTAGGACTGCACTGACTGCTCTTTGAAGAATTAATGGTTACTTACTCGGTGGGGTTTGGTTTTTTTGGGGGGATGATAGGATAAGGTGTGCTTGTGACATTCTTCCCCTTTTTCTATTACTTAGACTCCTTGGCCATCCCATGGCTTTAAATGAGGAGGAAACAGGGAAAATCTGAGGCACCCATTGTCTGTTAGGCACATGATCCAGGCCCAGCCTTGAGAGGAATGCTGTGTTGTAAAGTTTTTGTGGGTTCAGCCAAGTTCTGCATCTCTTGTCCAGGCCATTTGTGGCAGATTTTGTCCCGCAGTTTGTTAGAGTTTGATTCTAGGGCACTAGACCCCATGTGGCAGCTGCTGATTTGGTGCTTCCCACTGAGTTGCATCTGGGCAGGATGCCCATCAAGTAGTACCCTTACTGCGGTTCTAACTGTTACGTGTTATAACGTGTGGGTTTTTTTTCCTTGTAGGAAGTTAAGTCTGAGCTGGCACGTGGAGCTTCCCCCTCCCTCCCCTTTCGTACTCTTTTGGCTGTGCATGTCCACTACTGCTTTGTGTTGGCAGTCATGGTTATGTGATGACTATACAGAGGTGTGTTATAAAAGTGATCCAGGTGAAAACTAAGCTCCTTTCCGCTCTTCTCTCTGTTTAATTAGAGTGAGAGAAGGACGGGGCAAACACACAGCCATTGAGGCAGTAAGAGCAGAGGATGCAATTGCCCATTTTTAACAGTAGCCTGTATTTATATTCCTTTTTTAAGTTCCATGGTTAAATAGATCATGGAACCACAGCTTAAAAGATTAATTTTCAGATGCTATGCAAGAGTAATTGATCAGACATTTTCAGTATTTATTCTTTTTATTTCAGGTTAGGAGTCGACTTTATGTAGGTAAGCTTATTTTTCATACTGTTTCTTTGGAGTATTACTTTTTTTGTCTTTCTTTTTTTTCTCCTTTTAATTATTTGGGATGTTGCAACACTTAACCGTGTCTTTTTTTAGGAAGGGAAAAACAGCTTGCAAATAAAATTGCTGAACTAGTTGAAGACAAATGCAAAATTCTGGAAAAACTCAGCCTTTGCAAAAAAGAGGTAATGGTCCTCACTTACTGCTTTCAGATGCATCACAGAAATGGTCGCAATTTATCAAGTATGTAAAGTATTTAACCTACCTAAACGTAAGATATTTAAAACCTTTTAAAGTGATTCTTCAAATGCTTTTTCCTGTCAGTGCCTTTAAGTGCAATTAAAGTGTTAGCAAGTTCTGCCTTTAACTCTTAATATGAAGCAACTTTAAAAGGTCTTTGTTTTATGCCACTTGGATAATCTACTAGGGCTAAGGCTTTCCTGATTTCCAGCAAGGTGTGTTTGTGAATATTTAGGTGGTGGCTGTGTTTCAGACTAGAGCATCATAAATTAATGCTATTATTTAAGCAATTCTTTACATACATTCTGACATAAAGTATTTCCTTTTCAGTTTGAAGATTTAGAATTGTCTCTGAAGGATGATAACGTTATGAAAGAATCAACAGACACATCTTTTTTTGAGGTAAAAAGATAAATGGAAATTGTTATTTCTACAATTTAAAGCGCTATTTCAGGAAAATGCTGCCCATATTTTAATAATAACCCACCAAAACCAACAACAACAAAAATCCCAAACAAACCCCAAAAAACCTTAACTGTTTTAGTTGGGAGCATTGTTATTTTAGTCCGGGGTTACTGAAAATGACATAGAAGTGAGGCATTTAAATTAAGAGATGTTTTTGTAACAATTGCATTAAAAATGGTCAATACTAGAGCAAATGGCATATTAGACAATATTTAATTTTTTTAGAAGTAAATTGTTCCTGTTTCTAGGAGAGAGAGAGTGAGTAGTGCATGAAGTATTTTTACTCAAATATATTTTATAGGCTACTGGAGCACAGTTGTAAACAAAAATTACCACTGCATTGTTTATATCCCCCAAACTGAGAATATATTTGTAAAAGAGTTCCGAAAAAGTCAATCAAATGCCTAATGGGCTCTATAAAATTTATGTAACAAAAAAGCAAATAGATTTATTTCATTCTGCACCTCAGATCCTATAGAGCTAATTGTTACAGGTTTTGTTAACGTGCAAGAGTCTCTAGAGTACTTTGAGATTTATCCTTGATATGGTGACATTTGTTAAACGTACTTTGCTGTCATATTTAAAACATACTTGTTGTCTTCATATGTAATTAATGTCAAATGTTTTATGTTATCTGTCAAAACAACTTGATTTAGGAAATGCATGAAAAACTGAACAAGTCAAACTTGGAACTCAATGAAGAAATAGAGAATCTAGAAAAAGAACTGGAAGAAGAAAAATCTAAACAACCGGAAAGTGATAACTTGGTAAGAATAAATAGAATCCTGTCTTTGTTGCTATTAATTTAAAAAAAAAAAAAGTCCCACAAAAAAATTCTCTATGGAGAAGACAAACTATTCTCTTTGGGTTTTTTGAAACAAAAACTACATTTCCCATTTTGTCTCCCCTCGTACTCCCTGTAGCATATTAGAAAAAATGACACCCATAAAGGAAAACACTCAAAAGTAGAAAAGCTGTTTTTACTGGTTTGGCAGTAGAACCTCCTCAGTTTGAAAAATTAAAGTAACTTTATTAATTACCTAGACCTTTTCAGTCAAATCTGTGGAAGAAGCTATATGACAACTAATAATTTTCAGGTGGCTGAAATTCAGAAGAGAGTGGAGTCTTTAGAGAATGAAGCAAAATCTATCCAGTCACAAATTGATGAGGTATGTCCAATCTTTATAGTTTCTGTTTTCAAATCTTTGCAATTTCTCTGTTCTCCATGTAGTTACTGTATTAATTTTTTTTCTATTAAGGGTGCAGAAATAATATGCTGTGTAAACCAGAAGACTTTGTAAGGCTTATTACTTCTGTGTGACTTGATTTAGCAACTTTGAATTTCATATAGTGATTGGCATTTATTGGGAAGTACAGTTACCTTGTCTTTTCTTTGCCTTCTTACTCCACAATGATACTGTGGATGTTGCAAAACTACAATCAACAAAACCTGTTGAAATTGTAGGGAAAATGTGAGAATACGTATATAGCACAGCTAGAAAACCTAAGAATAAGTCTAATAATGCCATTCTGACCCCACTTATATCTTCACCTATACTGTTTAAACAACTCACTTTTTTTATTTCACTTAGGCCAAGTCCACCCTAAAAGTGTATCAGATTAATACAGAGAGACTCAAGACATCCATTCAAGATGCAGTAGACGAAAACTGCCATCTCCAGGAAAGTGAGAAACAGGTAGGTTCTTCCTAGTTATCCTTAGAAATACTGTATTTTCTTACGATACTATGTAAATACGATTTCTCCATGGAGCTCATTCTCAACATGTTAATACCCCTTGCGTGTTCCAGTAAATGGAATGAGGAAGAGGACATGGCTTTAAAATGATTTGATGTTGGAATAACTTTGTCTAAAGTAGTCCTGTTTTAAAAGAAATTTAATAATTAGAGTTTGCGGGGAAACATGCATAGAGTTCAGTGAGAAAGAGAGCATATGGTAACGTGAGACTGATAAGAATTTTGCTGAGACCTGGAGGAGAGCAGAAAGATTTGAGCAAGTCCACAGCTAGAATCCTCTACGGGCAGAGAGAAAATGCTTATACTTGACCCAGAAAACAAAAGAAATTAAGAATTTGCAGAGTACGCAAAAGGCAGGTAAAAAACTTACTGTAGTACCCCTATGGATGAATTAATGGAAAGTCAGGTAAGTAATATGAAGGGACAGAAAAGACTGTTACTTCCCAAATTTTAGTATGGATGAATTAATGGAAAGTCAGGTAAGTAATATGAAGGGACAGAAAAGACTGTTACTTCACAAATTTTAGCTGTTTATTCTCCTCAGTGCTGTAGCCAGATCCCAAAGAATGCTGATTATTTTAAAATGTTCAGCATATGCAATAACTGTCCTGTGCAATAAGTAGTTTTACAAAGAAATTATTCTGTTTTTTTCCAAACAAAAAGATATTCTCTCTGAACGTTAAATGTTCCATGGAATGTTTTTGGTTTTTTGGGTTGTTTGTTGTTTGGTTTTTTGTGTCTTTGGTTTTTAGTTTGTTTTTTTTAATAGATATATGCTTATTTTCCTGACTGACTGATGATCTCCTGGTTGTCTGAACAGTAACCTGATAGATATCTTGCAGGGTGGGGTGGCAGGGGAGCCAGGGAGTAGAAGTACAGGCCTGTTGGTTTTTAGCAGTCTTATAAAACGCTGGGGAGTGCTTTAGTCCTATCAAAACACTGTGCATATCAGACTTACCGATTCAGAAAAAAAAACCCTCAGGTTGCTGGAAATAGAAGATTTTCTGCAGGAGGAATATTTCAGTTCTGCACAACTCTGTTATCAGTAAAACATATTTTTCTCTAATTTTAGAAGGAGTACATATTTGTGACTACAAAAAAAAAAAGGAAGACAATTTTATTAGATGCTGTGAGTGGAGAAACAGTGGATTTGGGTGTTGTCACTGTGAGATGAAATTGCTTGAGAATTATTTTCTTTCAAAAGTCTTTTTCGTCTAATCTGTACATCCTTTTTGTTTGTTTCTGTGAGGAGGAAGGGTCTGGTCTTGGTGCTTTATTTCAGATGTGACAGTATACTTACGTAACAAATTTTGAGCGGCAGTACACAAAGTTTTAATAGAGGGGGATTTTTTTTGTTTTTTCTCTGGTAATTTCTTGTGTTCAAACAGAAATAATCCAATTATTTGTATGTGTGCGAAAAGAATCTTCTTTTTCTTTCCTTTTATTAAAAAATAGTACTTAGGGTAAGATAATACTAAGTGCTGACAATTACTCTACGTCTTATAGGCAATCATTTTATATCGAGCAAAACCAGGAAAAAAAAATCAGTAAAAACAACTCCCAGGATGTAATTAACTTGCCAGGTTCCTAGATAAAATAAGGTTTTTTGCATTCCTTCCAGATAAAATAACCTGAGTATAGTAGTTCCTTAACCACATTATTTAGGATGAATTACTACACTTTGTTGTTAACTGAGCTTTATTGCAGTTTTTAGTAATTTGAGAACATTTGTGTATATTGTATTCTTCTATGTTTTTTAATAGATAAATAACCTGATAAGAGTTGATGGAACTTGATAAGGAAAGAACAAAGTATCTGCTTTGCTTATTTGTATTCTCTTTTATGAGGTTCTTGTAAGCATGTGAGTTAGTTTGCTATATTAGAATATCCATATCCCTTTTTTATTTTTCTTTTTTTTTTTTTAAAGATGGAATTTCACTTATGCTTAAAAGGTAACAAAGGTGTTATTTGTTCACGGAAACTAGAGTACTTTCTTCCTCTGTCCGTTTGCACTAATGGGTCATAATCGTCTGGCACATCATAGCTTAAACATTATAACAGATGTGCTGTCTCAGATTTATGATGTGTCAGAGAGAGGATTGGGCCTTTTAGTTTGAACAAGGGAACTGTTAGTGAACTCCAAACTTTCTATGCTTTGGTTTTTGCAGGAACATTAGAAATATATATTGCTTTAGCTTATTGCAAATCCTTGCTATTTCTCTTCATAGTAATTCTTACAGGTATATAAAGTCATGTCAATTTATTTTCTCTTTGGCTTCATGAAGAAGGAATCTCTTAAAGTTTAGCTTCCCTTTGAGGATGACATTTAATGATAAAAGTAGTTGCCTGTGTACGTCTTCTGAGCAGTATTAGCATAAAGAGTATTTTTGTTTTATCTGTCATACGTAGTTTGCATGATGCTGCAAATTCATACATGGCTTTTACTGCTTGAAAGGTGCAGTTGTGTGCCAAGTGGGGTTCATCCAATTCTAGTCACATACCTTTTGTTTTATGCCTTCTAGTTTATCTTTGATAAGTAGTGTTCAGGCTTGCTTGTCTATCTGCATGGCAGTTCCCCTGTTTAACTACCATTTTCTGGTTTTATTTTTAGTATAACTGGCTGTTACGTTATCGTTGCTCAAACTACTTATTCCTTTCTGTGCATTCACTGCTTTTAAATTGGTTGCCTGTTGTGCAACTTTAAGCAATATTCTTTTGACAGACTCTAAGACAAATTTTTTGTACTGTACTGTTTTTGTACTGCATGTTTTGTCTTAACAGAAATTTGCATCAGTTCAATTTCGTTCTCACAATATGAAGGCATGGTTTAATTAGTTAATATGTTGCAGTGGTTATTTTTAATGAACTGGTGCTTAAGTGTACTAATCCCTTTACTGCTGTAAAGTATTTTTGTGAAATGAGATTTTACTAGGGGATGTCTGTAAAATGTAACCTTGGAATCTACCTGTCTTTTTAGTTAACCGCAGTTAACTAGAGGTACATACTAGTTGGTGTTGATTATGTACAGTGGCTGGGGGTTTTCCCCATAGGGGAAGTTTTTTTTAAAAGTTTTTTTAAAATAAAATTTAAAAATTACTTTAAGAGGTATGGAGGAGAGTAGGAGAAATAATACAGTTTTGCAAGTCGCGTGAATTTAAATAGCTGTCTAAAAATCTTCCTGGTTTCCCTTACCTCACTGACCTCTTCTAGGTTGAAGAGACACAGGTACGATTTCAGAAGTGTGTGTGCATATTGGGGAATGAGTGTTCTCCTTTCCGTCCATTCCCCAGTGTTTGTAGCTGTTACACAAATTATCGCTATTTTAAATCCATTGCTGTTGTCACAGCAGGGTTTTTAAACTAAGTGGAATATTAACTGCTCTTATAAATGTTTAAAAATATCCTAACTACTAATGACAATGGAGAGCTAGTGCAGCTAAAGCAACTGGACAGTAACATAAAGTCTTTTTTTTTTTTTCAACTCCTGAAGTTTAACTGTCTTGGAGTCTCTCTCTGTTAATTCTTACTGATGGGTGAGAGCTTAAAATTCTGCTTATGTATAGATAATATACATAACAGGCTCAAGTACTATTCATCTTTGATTCTTGGTTGCAATAGACAATCACGCTACTCTGGTATTTCCCTTTTTAGCTTTTGCAAGAAGCTGAAGGATGGTGTGAACGATTTAGTGAACTAAATGAACAAACTAAGATGTTTGAATCGTCTAAAGCAGATATAGAAGAAGTATTGAAAAATAAAGAGAGTCAAGTCAAGGTAAATTATGACAGCTAGCATTGAATCAAATTATTCAGACTGATGCTAATCATTGAGTTCCAAGAAAGTCTAACAACCTCTCCTTGCCTTAATATGCATTAAGCTGTTTTGGGTTTTTGTTTGCTGTCTCCATCCTCTAATGTCTTGTTTCCTGCTAAGCAAAAAAGGTTGCTTAGCAGCACAATGGAGCGGTCTGATAGCCTTGGAAGTCAGCACGTTAAATAAGGAAAAACTCTTTTAGTTCTGGTAGAGTATTTGCATTTTTTTTCAATTTGGAGCGTGGGAGTTGGGAGTGTATTCTTGCATGTGTGTACCTTACATACACAAGCCCTGCTAAAAGCATGCATACTTGGCTATCTGAAAAGTCTTCACAAGGGCACACATTTTGACCTGCATGTATATGTTTTAATGGAAAAGGTAATATCAGACATCTAGAATCCTGTATATGGGGCTCACTTAAAGGGAACTAAATAAAGAACAGAAATCCTGAAAAAGTAATGGTAACTACATTTTCATTGCTTGTATTTATTTTACCATTTGTGTTTTGTGGGGGCTTTTTCTTAGTCGCTGACACAATACTTACTGAAGATGAAAGACTGGAGTTCAGCAATAAAAGAAGATGATGACACTGAAGATAATCACTGGGACACAGATATAAAGGGTGAAACAGAGAATGGAGAGCATTTAGGTATGGTTTGTATAGCTTCCCATCTTAAATATTAATTTAATAGATGTTTTAGAAATACAGATCCAACAAACTTCCAGGAAAGTTGAAAAATTAGCTTTGTCGAAGTTGGATTTTCAAAACTCACCCAATGTTATTCATGTTGAATGGTTAACTGATGCTTGGACACCTCCGGAATAACAACCTATGCTACCGTTGAGCAGTGTGTGGATATAGCTAAAGCATACATATTATCATAGAGCAATGTAAAGACTCAGTGCTCAGTCTCTTGCAGAATGGCTTTAGCCTATGTTACTATTAAGTAGTGATTCTCAAACATTTTTAGGTGAAAACCTTGCTTTCATTTCTTCTTGAAGGTCCTCCCAGCCGTAGCACTGTGAGTCCTTAGAGCCTAATTTCTGCTTCCTTGTCCTTACACAGGTGTTACTTGTTGCAGGCAGTATGGTAGCACTGGAATCAGATTGGTGTAGATGTAGGTCCCCCCAAAACAGCAGCACAGAAGAGCCTTTCTTCCTTTTTCTTGCTGCAGCTTCTTTTTATGGTGGTGCTGATTATACCATAGGGCACAGCCCAGTGAATCTTACAGTGTGTATTCAGCATCTCACTTTTAACATGAGCATTCTGAGTCTGACTGATTGGCAAACAAGCACTAGAATATAGGCATCCCCCCTGCCTTTTTTTTTTTGTCTTTTTCCTCCAAATATGCTATGCCTATCATGGTATGTTGGGGATTGCTTTTTTATAAAAACAAAATAAAAGAATAGTAGTAAGCTCTGTCACAAACGTTTTTGTGCTTTTTATGTGATGTATTATTCTATTCTGTCAATCAGATGATCAGCAAAAACGAACTATAAAGAAATTGATCTATGCTGCAAAGGTATGTGATTTTAAGAAACTTGTGGATGGAAGGGAGGGAAACTAGAGGGAATATATGCAATTTTTATGGTAAGTTTAATTGCATGTAGGTATCAGTACCACAGAGTTCGGCATCTTTTAATGTTTAATTAGATATTTCTGCATGCATTCTGGTAATCTTAAAATGCTCATTTTTTAAAAAATTTGATTGTAGTTAAATGCTTGTTTAAAGACCCTGGAAACAGAAAGAGATCAAATGTATTCAAAACTGTCTGATGAAAATAAAGCTAAAGGAGAACTTACAGGTAATTAAATGTTCTTTTGCCTTTAAGATTAATAAGATGCTGCTTTTGTAAAATAGTTTTGCAGGCTGTAAGTATTACTTCCAGTAAAAACTGAGTTAAGTTTACATTAATAGCTTTACTTGATTTTTAAAATGCCTGTTTGAGTTTAAGTTGCTTAGCTATTTTAAATATTTGATTTTAGAGGTAAAGCAATCAAAGTGTAGTGATGTTGCTAAAGCACCATTTGCAAATTTTGTTGTACTCTATTGGAGAATTCTAACTGTTATAGATTCTTAAAATACATGGGCAAAGTGATGTTAATAAATAAATAATACCTTCTTTAATTTCTGGACATGAAACAATGGAGTTATAATTAAATTTTAAAACAATCTATTAAAAATGGTAGCTTAATTGTAGTTAGTTTGTAATGGGTGCAAGCTCAATACTTCTTAAAATCCAAAATACTGCATTTAGACAATTGAACCTAAAAGCATCTTGCTCTGTTTTTTTTCCTTTGTTATGTAAGACATACTGAATTAAACCTTATGAAATGAAAACACTGCCACTTTAATTCAAATTAAAGCCTGTAATTAGCTATTGCTTTCATAGATAACAGCCAGCAGAGTAGCCATCACATTTGAATGTACCGTGCTTTGTTATTTGGGTGATGAAATGCTCTGTAAAACTGTATTTTTCAGGTTTTTTTATAGTCCTTTGAACTGACTCTTTGTGCTAGTGTGTTTTCCAAATTGATTGTAACTCTGTCCTATAAAGATATTCATACTTACTTGATCTTTCTATGTTTCTTGAAGAGAGGCATAGGAATAGTAAATAGGAAAAGAAACATGACTGATTTTAATTTGGAAAGATAAGGTAGTTTGACAAATCTGAGTTATCCCTTCAGGCTACTCAGCAAGATCTCGTGTGAGTAAATCTGCAAGAGTATATGATGGTACCAATTTTACTCCTCTAGTAGATTAATTACAATAATGAAAGGCCTGAATGAAAATTTATATTGTGAATTACAGAACTGCGTTGTTTTCCAAAAAGCTATACAATTTGGAGCAAAGGCTAGATACATGCTCAGAGCTGCACTTTGTGGCAGGTAGAGATTATAGGTTGCTGACTTCCCATCAAAAGGAGCAATACTGCTTCTCAATTTGTATGATTTATTGAAATATATTAACATATTATTGCTTATATTATTAAATCAACATAGAATCAAAGGTTTTTACAGACCTTTTGTATACTAATATAATGCAAATATTTTAATTTTGTAAATTGTGCATTGTCCCAATATAATTATCTCTAAATTTGGCAGAACGTATAGAAAACCTTCAAAGTCAACAAGCTTCCTTGCAGTCTGAAAATGAATGTTTTGAAAGTGAAGTTCAAAAGCTTCAGCAGAAACTTAAAGTGATGACTGAGCTTTATCAAGAAAATGAAATGAAACTACACAGGTGCTGGTTCGTCTTTTTATATTCAATGCTGACTGTTTGATTTGAATGTAACTCTTTGATTTGGGGGGCTGAAAGTTAGTGAAAATTTGAACAGTGCTTTCCAGAGTTTTCAGAATTGTGAAGGCCCTGTTATGTTACCTCTTCATGTACATTAGTGATCACAGTAATTTTATAGAAATTGTTTCCATGAAAGTAGTGGTACATTATTTTAGGACTTTTCCACAAGCAAGTACAGAAACAAAGATAAAACAAGAAGTAACAAATTTTTAGTCTATGAAATAAGGTGGGTAAAGTTGGAAAGCTTGATTTATTTTTTTTTCTTTTAATTTTTTTAATGAAATTAAGCTAGCTGTATTACATCATATCAAAGTTGCTGAAAAAGATAATCAGTAGCTGCTTTAACTGTGAGGTGTATTTTATATAGTAAAGAGAGCTGGTAATGTCAGCAGAGGAGTGATGCTGTATATAAAACTAAGCTTAGAGTTAAAACATAGACAAGCTTACTATTATCATTAAGCAACATAGAACCGCTGTGAATCAGGCTTTCCTCACCAAGATAGAATATGAGGGCTGTACTATCTGCCTGACAGTCACGATGATAGTAGGGATTGTGACTTACTGGTTGAAATCAGGAATGTGTTAAGGACTAGAAATAAAGTTGGTTGGGATGGGATGGGGCATATAGTAACCTTCAGAAGTGGGTGGGTGGTGGGAGGGACAGGGAGGGAGCAGGGGTCATCATTTTAGGGCACGATGGTAAAATTGCCATTTTACTAGCCATAAATTATTTCTTCAAGGAGCAGAAATAATGTTGAAGGCAGCAAGAGAAGCAGCACAAGTCTTGATCCTGTACTGAGGAGTATACAGGACCTTCTTAAAAAATTCCTTTCAATAATCTGCTCTGTAATATATATATTTGTATAGATATTGGGCAACCTTGTAGATGCAACAAACCCCAGAAATCCAGCACATTAACATTTGATTTTTAAAAAGGATGGGGGGAGGGAGTGGGAAGGAACCTATTAAAAAGAAGCTATGATGGGGCAGTCAGAAAGGAAAAATGTTTGCAGACTGTGTGGATGGTATTTAAAAATGCCACACTGAGGCTCAGCAAATGTATGCTGCTTGTCAAAGATTTTAGAAAAGCTGAAAAGGAGTGGGGAGAAGCTGGCGTGATGAGATAGCAGATAAAAGAGGCTATTAGTATTAACAAGGCATCTTTTAAAAAGCTAGGCGTGTTTAGACAAGGGAAATAAAAAAGTGGGAAATGAAGATTGAGTAGAAAAGAAGTTTAAATCATGTTCAACAGATCCATGATTTAGACAGTTTGATAGCTAAGGACTGCTGTTTACAGGAAAATGACCAGTTTATCCATTCAGGGCTGTATGCAGCAGTAGTATCCATGTGTGTTCTGCAGAATTACCTTGTGTATAATCTGTGGTCTGGAATATGGGTTTTCTCTTCTGTTGTGCCCAGTAAGGCATTGACAAAAGGAACCTAGAAAGAATTTTTTTTAATAACTAGGT